GGGCCCGTCTTACCCATGCGTTCAAGCTCGTGGTTGAGCGCATGCAGCCAGTAGAGGTCCATGTCATCCAGGTCGTAGCGGCACATGGCCTCCGCCAGCTCTTTGATGCTCACGAATCCCGGCTCCTTGGACTCCTGGCTCCAGCACTGGATGTACTTCTTCTGGTGGGCGTACAGCGTTTCCTTCTGCTTCTCCGCGATTACTCTGAAAAGAAACAGCAGAGAGCCGTTAGACTGAATAGCTGAACCAACCAGAACCTGCTTCAAAGGGAGCCAACAATCACATTTAAAGGTCAAAGCTGTAATGATTGCGATATCTCCTCCTGCTGTGATTGAGAGAGCGAGGTGATCAGCTGATGCCGAACGTATTTGCTCTCCTGTTTGCACTTTCAGACTGGTCTGTGGTCATGTTGAAGCCATGGCACAGATTCTTTCTCCTCCTCCTCCAGGAGACGCAGGAGCATTCCCGATCCAGCTGACAGGTGAATTCCCCCCCAGGGCTCCTACCACTGGGTCATGAGATACCTGAGCCGGTTCCCGTTGGGGTGGAGCTCCTCCAGAGCGTTCAGTCTCTGAGGCAGTGTCTGACGTGGTCGTGTGCTCAGCTACGGCTGACTCGTGTAAACTTGTCACTTGAGTACGCTGATCAGCGTACTCAAGTACCTGTATGAAGAGGAGATGGAAAACTAAGATGTTTGGGAGGCGGTCGGACTCACCTGACGGACGGCTCTGGGATGGTGTCTGGGCTCGCTGGTACCTGCACTCCTTTCTCCCACTCCTGCTTCCAGGTGTCTGCCAGCAGGTAGCAGTCCTCTGGGGAGATGTGGTGGGAGTCAGGCAGCTTCATTGCACTGATCAGGTCTTTCCTGAACACCTGTGGGGGAGAGAGACGCACACAGGTAGTCAAACGCCATCCTGACATTTACTGACACTCAGCAAAGTCTGATACACACCTCAGCTGGCTTCTTCGGGTTGGATGCAGGCGTTCCAGGTTTGCTCCCATATTTGTTGGAGGAGCAGAACGAGGTCGATGGACCTGAAAGAAGAAAGAGGCGAATAAAAAGAAATGAAGGAGACAGTTTGGTCTGGGTTACGGGTCACGCTGCCATGCCGCGACTGTTTTTGGACCCCAAGCCTGAGAGTGGTGTACCTGTGTCCGTCTGTTCTCACATCCAAAACACCAGGAGGCAGCACAGTTTCGCTCTGTGACCGACACTCTTCAGTCGATTGAAACTTGCCATCACTAGAGGGCAACGTTAGGCTGAGGTGTGGCATCAGATTTTGATGTTAATTTTTGGTTGTTGTTGTTGTTGTTTTTTTTAAATCAGAAAGGTTTCCAAAGAACAGTTTAAATATTAAATAAGAATCTTTTTGGTCTTGGTCAATTCTTTAAACATGTTAAGACAATGTCTCCACGGAACCATGAACAGCATCCATGTGACGTGTTCAGGGAGACGCACGTTAGGCACATTTACAGGTGTGATGCACCAACAGCATAAATCTGAAATGCTCGAACAGCGTTTTCACATTTTAAAACTGGAACAGGCTTATTATTTTCCAGTTTTAATGATGCTGCCGTCTCACACTGATTATTCAAATGGGATCCTTTTGATTCTTTTGCACCAACAGGCAAGACTGCATACAGATCACTTTCTTCTGTTGTTACAGAAATAGTTACAGAGCAGTCACAGGTTAGAAATGATGATGACGCCGGAAACGAAGTGGCAAGCTTGACTCACTCTCATTGTCAGAAGTGTCACTGCTGCTGGAGGACCGGAGGCGTTTCATCCTGTATCATCCTGCAGCAGCAAAAGAAGATGATGACATTCAAATATTGATGATTTTTAAGGCCAACGGAACAGAAGTTTGTGGACACAAAGAAGAAATTTGTACTCACCGTAAACTTCAAATTGAAAAGCATGCTAGTAGATTCTTCTGTCAGACCGCTTCAGTTCATATCTGCAAACCACAAGTAAATAAAGACATTTATAAAATTACTCAACTATTACTTCACTGACTACATGTTATTATTTTACATTTTATTGTATCCCTGCTGTAACTTTCTAATTCACTTGCTTTTAACGCATCATCATCACATATGATCACTTTTGTTTTATTACTTTGTGTTGCATCTCTATCTGTGAAGGACGGAGCAGCACTCACCCGCCTCACAGGTGTCATACAGACACATCACACACAACAAAGACTTATAGCAGTTCTTCTTAAAAATATTTGGTTTTTATAACTTTTAAATCATATCTGTGTCAATAAACAGGAGGTGGAAGAGGCCAGAGCGACATCAGTCCTAGATACAGAACGCTGTTTCAACAGGGGGCACAAGCCTGACATTCCCCATGAAGACACAAGGAAGAGGAGGAGCCAGGAGCCCCTCTCCTTGCCATACCATAGTGACGTACACCTCACGTGAAAAGCTCAAGTCAACTTACAGTGTTGGAAGCTGTTGGTAAATATAACAGCAGGTTCTCCCTGATAAACAAAAATCATATTTTCACTCCATGTTTGTGCTTTTCCACTTGACTTTTCAGTAACCTTAAGCACCAGAAGTTGCAGTTCCTTTATTGTCCAGCAGAGGCTGCAGTGAGTTAGCTCTCATAGACTCCCTCATGGACTCGAGGACCACAGTATTGTTTCTGTGTTGCCAATTTCCTCGTTGCCAGGTTTTTAAAATAGTGGTTCATGAAGGAGACACTCTCATGACTCCTCAAGTGACGTCATTGACTAGCCAATCGGTATCTTGCAGTCTGTTGACATCACATTTTCAGATCGCTTGGAACCCCAGTGGAGTATGTACAAAAAAGTACCGGGTACTATGACCTATCCCTAACAGAGAACCCTAAAAACCGCGACGAGCCTACCCGAGTAGGTACTAATACTAAACAGTGGGCTCACTTCTGCCCCCAAATAAAACCAGTATGGCAGCAGCTACCACTTCAATGCTGAGGGTTCCACGCTGACGATGAGTGCTCCCTCCATCTTTTATGTACAGTGTGTGGAGGCTGTTCAAACAGGTTCATATATGTAAGATCTCATTACTCCACAGCAAGGTGTGGCAGGTGTTCTCCACCTGACATCTAACCTGTGGAGGGAGGGTGCACGGATATGACGTCAGGTTGTGTAAAAAGCGCACCTGACAGGAAACGATGAGAAAAGGCTAACACACTGTTTACTTCCCTCCCTCCTCCTGTTTTGTGCCGTTTCTTGGCTCACCTGAAAGAAAGCCTCACACACCTGTGTAAAGTGTTGGCGCCAAACTGTAAGGCCTGCCCGCGGGCTGGGAAATCAAACATAGGCGCCTCCATCACTCAAACATGTCACTTCCTCGGAGGCTCTGAGGCGGGCATCTGTGCTGCTCCGCTGGGTTCATACCCCGGGAGCCTACCAGCTGCTCGTGGTTCCGGGGTTAAGTGGCAGGACGGCCCCAGAGAGAGCGCAGGCCCCGGGCCTGAAGGGACCGTCCAGGGCAGAGCCCAGAGCTCAGGCTCAGCTCGCCACCACATTGTTCACATTTTCCCGCTCATACCTGCAGTCCCGCCGCTGCCGCCCGCGTTATTCCGCTCGCACGGTCCTCACACGGCCTCGGCCCGGGCTCTGGTTCCGGACTCGGTACTTCTATCCCCGCAGCTCAACGGGAGGATCCAGCTCTGCTGCCCGGACACCAACACGCCACAACGGCCCTATTGTACAGTGCAGCCCACCGGGTCCTAAACCCCGCCGTCGCAGTCAGCCTCCGCCTTCCTCGGAGTGGTGCTAACGCTGCATTACCGCCCCCAAGCGGTGGGAGTGTGAACCCCAGGCAGATTTTTGTTCGATAAAACGAGACTTGGAAAATGAAACAGTCCGTTTGTGGCAGGGGCGGATCTAGAGGGGTGGCATTAGTTGCCATAGGGTGCCACTCTAAAATGATTTCTTGTCACCCCTAGTGCCACCCTAGTTTTGCATGTGACAGTGTTGTTTTTTAAGTAAAAATAAGGTAGCATTAACACTTTGAGCCCAGACACAATTAAAAATGAACATAAATCCTAAAACTGAATATATTGCACACACACACACACCATTAACAAATGGTTTTGCCCATGGCGCAGACCGGCTTTATTTCTTGTTTTTACTAGTTTTCAGTAGATTTTGTAAACTTTATTGTTTATAAAATTTGTGAATACGTTTTCAAACTTTACAATTATTATTTGAATTTAAAGTTATAAAATAATTTACTAAACGTGTCTGTTGTTTTTACAGTAAAAAATATATATAGATATAACTACTACTAGGATTTTATTTTATTTTTTTGTGTAATTTCAGATCAGTTGTGTTAATGCAGTACGTCAGTGAAAAAATAACTAAATTCAGACACGTGAGGTTGGGCCGAAAATAATTATACCAAACAACACAAAAAAAATTTAAAGGTGAAATACAAATGTAAAACCAAAAGTAGTAAAAATGGCCAATTATAATTTGGACCTCAGAGTGTTAAGCCAGCAAATCATGGAAAAGTAGGTTCAAATTTCTTTTCATCACAGTGCAGATTTCTGACATTTTGTGTAAATTTAAGTAACAATTTGATTTTTTCTAACAAAAAAAGTGTGAAACGTAAGTTAGATATGTGTTTTTAAATAAAATGACCCTATGTTGTGTAACTTTCTGGATTTTATACTTATTGGGCTACATATTTATTTATTATACAAGCTATACAGGACATCAAAATTTACATTTTATGTAACTGAAATGTTTAATTATGTGGGCTATAGAAAATAATGAAGTTATTGACTATATTTATTTGAAACATGTAAACTTAATGCATTTGAATAATTTTAACCCTTTGTAACACCTGCATATGTGTTTAAAAAAGGCTTTGATTTTGCCACCCCATTTGATTTCCATGCCAGCCTAAGAAAATTTCTCTTGATCCGCCCCTGGTTTGTGGGTCTTACAGTGTGAGTGGGTAGGGGGCACAGTCCATTTATCAGTCTTACAGTGCAAAGAACTCATCCAGCATCTACTATCCTACTGGCAGTCCTACGATCTTGTTGGGTTGTCGCTTCTCACGGGACGTCCAGCTGCTAAACCAGGATGTGAAGCTTAGCATCAGGATGTTTTCTGTTACACCTCTATAGAAGGCTGTGAGGCGAAGTGTTGGGAGCCCTGCTTTCCTGAATCTTCCGAGGGGGGTGGCTTTTGTGCTTTTTGATGACTGCTATGGTGTTAGCGGAGAAGAACGGCTCATCAGCTAAGTGCACACCAAGGAACACTGCTGACCCTCTCCACAGCAGCACCATTTATGGTGAGGTCTGCGTGGTGATCTTAGCCAGACCTCCTGAAATCTGCACACTACTTCAAGCTTCTTCACGCGAACTCATTATTGTTAGTAATGAGAACAACCACTGTGGTGTCATCTCCAAACTTTGCAATGTGGTTGGTGCTGGATCTGTGTGAGCAGACTAAACAGCAGCGGGCTGAGGACACAGCCCTGAGGTGAGCCTGTGCTCATCGAAATGGTTTTTGATGTTAGGTTGCTCACCTTCACTGTCTGCTGTCACTTTGTCAGGAAGCTGAGAACCTATTTGCAGGTTGCAGTGTCCACAGAAACAAGTATCAGCTTTTCCACCAGCCGCCTGGCGGTAGTATTGCTAGTTTGGTTGATGAAGCTCAGATGCACACAGAGTGATGCACTCTGGAGTGACTGTTGTCAAAAAATCTTAATTGTTACATCTGTGCTGAGACTGGCTCTGACACACACCCTCCATACAGTAACGTGAAAAAGTGAAGGAAAAAAAAAGACGATAAAAGCTAAACTGAAACATGAAACCAGCTGTGGAAACTAAACTGGAATTAAAAAACTAAATAAAAATAAAACTAGGCAGAAAATACAAAACTATAACTGCTGCCAACAAAACACAATAACACCTGTCCTCTCAAATGCCTTCTTGTCCCTCCTTTAGGGGGCTCCATAGCTTCACCACTCCGCTCGCTCCAGCTTCACTGAACCTCTGCTCTCAGACACATCAGTCAGGGTTTCCTGGGTTTTACAGTTAATCTGGAGATATTGGTCAACCCTCAGCAAACACAGTGGAGACAGACCTGATTCATAAAATACGGACACCGTGTGTAAGTATTCTCACTGGCCACTTCATTAGCTACACCTATTTATCTTCCCTTTAACACATGTATCTTATTAGCTCGGTGCATTTATGCATACAGACCTGATGAAGAAGAGCTGCTGAAGTTTAAAGTGAGCATCAGAACAATGAAGAAAGGTGACCCCAGCAACCGTGAGTGTTTCTAGGATTTTCCCACCAACCAAGTGGTTGGAGTTTACAGAGAAAGTATTGACACTCACACACACACAAAAAGAGAACATGCTCTAAGCCCTGACCTCCATCAGCAGAAGCAGACTTACACTGAAAAGAATGGTTGAAAACAAGATCTTTCAGCTTGTAATCTGATTTTTATAACAACATTACTTAACAGACTACAGCCTTGCAGCACAGGTACAACAAGTGTGCAAACACAGGTGATGTCCCTACATCACAGTCAGGGAGTAGTAACGCACCACACTAAGCCAGAACGCTGGACACTGAGTTAATGAGGACAGAAGCATGATCATAACCTCCCACTCATTTCTGACCTTCCTGTGATCTCCTAACGGGACCTGATCACAAATAACCCGACACACTTTAGCTTTTTGTGACCTTTAAAGCTCGTCATGGACACATGTTGGTGATTTGAGAAAGAGGAAGCAGAGAGCTTCCCTTATTCACTCTGAGATGCTGTGTTTGTGTAAAGTTGACTCCACAGAGTGTGTGCTGATGGCTTGAGACGATCATTGACCACATCAGGATCACCCAGTCTGTCAGCTCGGCCTGAAACAAAGTTGTTTTATTCTCGGAGTACAAAAGACGCCAGACATAATGGATCTTTTACTAAACATCGGGATTGAAACCCTTCATGTTCCTATATAAAAACATCAGCAGAGTATAAAACAAATATTACAAATGTTGTTCTTTAAAAAACGATCACACAGAAGTGCCTACATCAGAAACACAGCTACTGTTCACACAGCGATCACTTAATCAGTCCAGCTTTGGCGTAACAATCATCAATACATCAGATACACACAGGAGTCTGTCATGTGAATCTCTCACACTCCCTCTCTCTCACACTCCCTCTCTCTCACACTCC